AGCACAGACGGATAGCGACAACTCTGACCACAAAAGCTCCTAAACCCTAAACCCGAAACCCTAAACCCTAAACCCAGAATCAAATAGGACAGACAGGCCACCTGGATTAGCACATCAGCCTGGGCCATGTGGTTCCAGTCATGGAGTTCATCACCATCCAAATGAACCTTGCGTATCGTGACCAGGAAGTGGTTTTGGGTCTTGCCCAAATCCTAAAACCTGAACCCTGAACCCTAGACCCCAACTAACATGAGGCTTGAAGTCTAAGGGACCACAACCCCGCCCCCTGCAGGTGAAGCTCACATGTGTTGTAGGGTTTTGGCGGTTGCGGTTCAGAGGTTTAGGGTGCTGGGGATTTGAGGTTTAACATGTTTAGGGGTTTCGGGCCTTATAGGACTCTAAGGTTTCAGGGTTCTCGGGTTTTAGGGGTTCAGGGTTTAGGCCTTTAGGGTTTTGGGTTTCGGGCTTCAGGGTACTGGGCTCTGAGGGCTTTCGGCCTAAGGCCCTAAACCCTAAACCCTAAACCCTAGACCCCCAAAACCCGCCTTGACGCCGCGAGCTCTGTAGGCATTGAAGTCCTTGCTCCTGTAGCTGCCCTCTCGGGTCGTACTGAAGACCTGGATTTCTCCAAAAAGCCGCGCAAAAGCGGATTAGGGTTCAGGGTTTACGGGGGGCTTAAAGTTTCAAGGCGTTGAAGGCTTTAAGGAATGTAATGTCACGTAAGCACGGCTTTGCTTTGTCCGAACAGCACATACTGTTTGTCTTCAGTGTCTGAAGAGAAGGGCACGCGGACCATGAATGCAGGGTCCGAGCAAAACTGGAAACGAATGAACCAGGCTGAACTGTCCGGACACTAAGCCACTGCGGCTTCGTCCTTGACGCCAAGCACTGGACCCGAAACCGTACAAAACCCTGCTAAGACCTGCTAAGGATTTAGGGTTTAGGGTTTAGGGTTTTGGATGCAGCCACCTCAAAGGAAGTCATCAACTGCGCCTTCATGCACAAGGGTAAAATGCAGCGGGATGCATGAACGTCCGAGTTGGGCAGCATCTTCTGAACAAAGGTGATGAGATGGAGGTAGACCTCTTTAGGGTTTAGGGTTTAGGGTTTAGGGTTTAGGGTTTAGGGCTTAGGGTTTAGGGTTGAATTAGGGTTTAGGCCCTGTGGCTGAGTGCAGAGACGCGTGAATCCCCAAACCTGTGCTGACTAGTTATACTACGCAACAATTGTTAAGGGACATATACCCAATCCCAGTTCCAATTAGGGTCCGTATAACTCCACTGATGCTCAGGGACCCCCCCACCCCCGCCCCATGTCAACGATCTCAATCTTTGCTGCAGCTTCTTCCACGTAAGTTCAACACCCTTTTTGGGCTAAAATGTGCTAAAATACGAATTAGCGAGAAATAAAGGGACTAGGGCAACTCCATGGCATCCTAGAACCCCTAACCCTCTACCCTGAACCCCTAAAACGAGAATGAGGGCTCTACTGGGCTAAACCGTAAACCCTAAACCCTATAAACCCTATAAACCCTATAAACCCTACAAACCCTATAAACCCTATAAACCCTATAAACCCTATAAACCCTATAAACCCTATAAACCCTATAAACCCTATAAATCCTATAAATCCCTATAAACCCTAAACCCTGGCACCGCCTTGTCCGGCTTGTCCCTGCCCTTCTGACGCGAGACGCTGATGTCGCCGCGCCGGACGTGAACTGCAACATGGTAGCGCTTTCGTTTGTCCTGAGTGCTTAAGGCTTAGGGTTTCAGGGTTTAGGGATGTAGGGATTAGAGCTTAGGGTCTAAGGATGTAGGGCTTAGGGTTTAGGGATGTAGGGTTCGGGATAGGGGTGCAGGGTTTGAGTTGTGGTTGGGCTCGCTAGATTTCGGGTCAAACCTTCAGGTCAGGCCTCGTTTAGCTGCTGTGATGCACTTGAAGTTTGAGCTTTGGGGTGGGATGCCCCTGCGAAGCAAGGAGCTTCAGTACCCCAATACTGTCTAAACTACCCTAAACCGTAAATCCTAAACCCTAAACCCTAAACCCCCTAAACCCCCTAAACCCCCTAAACCCCCTAAACCCCCCCAAACCCTCATAAGCACACCTCTACTTGGGTAGCGATGGACTATAAGCCCTCAAAAAAAGCCACGCAGCGAAAGCCGGAGTCGGGCCATGGAGGAGCTCAGAGTGATGTCGGAGATGCTTCAGGAAGCCTCAGGGTTTAGGGTTTCGGGTTTAGGGTTTAGGGTGTAGGGTTTAGGGCTAGGAGAGATGCTTCAGGAAGACTCAAAAAACTGGGTTTTCGGGTTTTAGGGTTCCAGGGGTGTAGGGTTTAGGGCTAGGGGTTTAGGGTTTCGGGTTTCGGGTTTCGGGTTTCGGGTTTAGGGCTAGGGGTTGCGGGTCAAGGCTTCCGGGTTCTTGGGGGCATCGCGGATTATATAATTTCACCTTTACCCCCATGGCCCAGCAAAGTGGCTCACATACCCGTTGTGGGAATCTTGTGAATGGGTCCTTTTCGAGCAGCCAGGCAGCGTTTAAGTAGGCCTTAGGGGCATCATGTGGGTCTCCAACTTATGCTCCGTTCGCAGCTCCTTGCCCTAAACCCTAAACCGAAACCCTGTGATCATGTTCTCTTCGGGGTACCCTCGACAAGGGAACTGCACGTTCAGGAGCTGACCATGTAAGACTCCTACCAACAACAAGCAATGCCAACGAAAACCTTAAATCCCAAACCTAATCCCTAGGCTGAAGATAGCCCAACAGCCATAAAGCGGCAAGGCCAGTGGCACCCACACTCCTAGGATAGGAGTCCTTGGGTTTAGGGTTGAGGGCTTAGCGTGCAGGGTTTAAGGTTAGGAGCCTCAGGGTAAGTTTCAGCGAAGGCGCCGGGAGTCAGGAAGTCCACGATATCTCTCCCAAAGGAGCACTGGTGGTAGAGCACATTGTGACCTGGGCTTTTGAACCAAGAGTAACCTCTAAATGACCCTTGTTCTCTTGCATGGGAAATAGCCTTAAAACAAAAAAACAGAGTACCCCCTAATAACCCAAAGGGGGGGGGGGGGGTTCCGAAAATAGGGGTACCTTATTGTGGTCCTCATTATAGGGGGATCCTACTATTATGTCGGCTGATTGTTTGGGGTCCCCTAGTTTCGTAAACCCCCATACCTATCTTGCAGGAGAATGGCCTTTAATAAGCCCTAAGCCCTAAAAACCCTTAAACCTAAACCCTAAACCCTAAACCCTAAACCCTAAACCCTAAACCCTAAACCCTAAACCCTAAACCCTAAACCCTAAACCCTGAACCCACAAAAAGTTCCGAAGCAACCCTTGAATGGCACAACGGAACGAACATGATGAGCTTGGCTTGAACCAACAGGCTTGGGGGATTTGGAGATTGGGGAGCTGATTCCCAAAGAAGCGCGTGTCGCCTTGTGGAAGCGCTTTTGGGTTTAGGGGTTTGGGGTGTAGGGTTTTGGGTTCAGGGTGTAGGGTTTGGCGCACACCCCGAACACTAAATCCTGAATGGTCATGTAACCATGAGATGCGATGGCCTTTAGGGCGTCCTGAGCTGTAAAGACACCAACCCGCTGAGTCCTCAACGGCCCTACGAAAGCCCGCAGCCCAAATACTCCTCTAAGCCCTAAACCCTAAACCCTAAACCCTAAACCCTAAACCCTAAACCCTAAACCCTAAAACCCTAAACCCTAACCTAAACCCTAAAACCCTAAAATCCCTTGAACCCTCAACTCGCCGGACGAGGTGCCATGGGTGGAGCCCCTCTTGTGCAGCTGGTTGCTTCCGTAGACGCAGCTGTCAAACTCCGCATGCCTCACACCCCAGGCCTTAAACACCTTTCAGGGTTTGGGGTTTAGGGTTTAGGGTTTAGAATGTGGGTTTAGGTTTTAGGGTTTAGGGTCTAGGGTCTAGGGTTTAGGGGTTAGGGGTTAGGGGTTAGGGGTTAGGTTTTTGGGTTTAGGGTTTAGGGTTTAGGGCTACGAATTGCGCAGTCCTTAATAGGGATTGTGGTCCCCCTTACTATAGTCCCCATTAAGGACTGTTACTATAAGGGGCAACATTCCAAGACCACGAGCCCAATAAGCCGAGCAAAATCCTTAAACACCTTGTCGTTCCCAAGTGCTTGAGCCTAGCTAAGCCTGAGGGAAAGGCTTTGGGGGGGTAAACCCTAAACCCTAAACCCTAAACCCTAAACCCTAAACCCTAAACCCTAAACCCTAAACCCTAAACCCTAAACCCTAAACCCTAAACCGACAAACTAGGCCCCACAAGTTCTCGAACGGTTGAGCTGCGGGTTGCACTGAAAGAGGGCCCCCTTTGTAGGACGGACTCCTCAGTAGGTAAGTTTATACGAAGACCCCTGATATCTCTTTGAACAAGTTTTTAGGAATCTTTTATACAGGGGGCCCTAAATATCGCTAAACCCTAAACCCTAAACCCTAAACCCTGAACCCTAAACCCTAAACCCTTGAAGAGCCCCAACACAGGGCGTCGAAAGCGCGCCTCACACGCCGGAGGATGTGGTCGTAGTTGGCCCCCACCAGCGCCCCGAGACATTTCCTCATGTCCTAGGTGGCCCGGTGGCGGCTTCTTTTGCAGCATTGGTTTCAGCAGTGAATTCACTAGCAAATAATCTGAAATAGTTAGTAGTATATATATATATATGTCTATATATACTGTAGAAAAATATATCTATCTATCTATCTATATATATATATACCTGTATAGTAGAGCATAGTGTATAAGCAGCCATGATAACAATAGCATATTTATGGAAGTGTAATAATGAAGGGTTTCGGGTGCGAATACGTGATCGGGAGCTCAGGACCTCAACCTTGAACATGATCCTTGAAGTCACGCGCGTGGACAGCCTATGCAATATGGAAGCCAGAGAAGCCTCTTGAAAGGAAAACTAGAACCCTAAACCCTAAACCCTAAACCCTAAACCCTAAACCCTAAACCTAAACCCTAAACCCTAAACCCTAAACCCAAGGCTCCGTTCCATGTACTTGGCCGACGGGGTTAGGCAGAAGGCCACCGAAGTTGAGATTAAACCTCCGGGCTGTGGCCAAGCACATGATCAGGTGGGCTGCCCGCTGCCCCAAGCCGTCATATCCTAGGCTGTGAAGTGGCCACAACAAATGGTAGACATGGGTTTAGGGTTTAGGGTTTAGGGTTTAGGGTTTAGGGTTTAGGGTTTAGGGTCTAGGGACACTTTGGGCGCTCTAGCGTAACGCACCCGGAGCCCCAAAGAAGGAGGGAAAAAGGCAACAAAAACACTGCTGAAGAGTCCAGCAACGCTCCACGGAGTAAAGGAACCCATTGGCTCGCGCGTTCTGGCACACGCTGCACTTCACAGGGGAGATCTTCGTTGCGGGCATTCTGTTGAAGAGCCTCTTCATCTGAGCATCTGGCCCCCGTTCTCTGTGCCCATGCCTCCTAGGATGGTCCTTAAAACCCTCTGAAATCTATTCCTCAACAGAAGCCTCTTAAGCCCAATAAGGGGAAACATGATCTATTCCTAAATATGTGCCTCTTAAACCCAATAAGGGAACACGTGAAATAGACAAAAAGCCTACCGAGCTTCTGGTGACACTTGATGTCCGGAACTGCCGGGCAGCCGGCTTCCAGCGCAGCATCAAGCTGCAAGAGCTGGTGCTGCTGTTGGTGCTGATGCACTTGCAGCAACCTACACTGAACTTGGGAACCCTAGCAAAAAAAAAAAAAACATCAGTTTAGCGGTTGCTTAGGAAGATATAAACGATTTTGGCTGTGTCTTAGGAGTTATTGTACCCAAAAATTAAAAAAAGATATTTCCAAGTATCCCTGAGCAACGCGCTGCTGTCACAGGTGCCCTCGCTACGTGTTTCACGTGCAAGCTCACCGCAGGCAGAGAGTAGTAGTATCGATTGGCATAGCAAGTGGAAAATCATGGGCTTCGGTGTGGCGGGCACGCGGTCTACGTCCTGATTTGAGACAACAAGGCGTCGGAAGATGCATGGCATAAAGAGCCCTCGTAAGCGATTTGGATCGCCCATTTGGGTAAGAAACGCGTCGTGCCCACACCCATCCTCTGGGAGAACCACCGACAAATGGCTCCCGCGATGTTTTGGTTGGACTCCCTGAATGGTCCCGAAACCCTAATACGAAACCTTAGAAACCCTAAGCCTCAAACCCTGAACCCTAAACCTGGGTTTGGGGTTTAAGGTTTAGGGTTTGGGCTTTAGGGGTTCGGGTTCGTAGGGTTTAGGGTTTAGGGGCCCTTCAAGCGTGTTCAAGAGCTTTCTTCCTGAACAGCCCCAAGTCTCGAGGCCTCTCTTGCAAACCCTTAACCTTAAACCCTAACCCTAAACCCTAAACCCTAAACCCTAAACCCTAAACCCCACGCATCTTGTTGATTCCATGGGAGCTCGGTGGGCTCTTGACATGTTCAGGTCAGTTTTTCTCGCAGCCTAGAGAGCCAGCAGAATTACCACAACGCGTTCCGCTGAAGACAAAAAGTCGAGTGGGTTTAGGGTTTAGGGTTTAGGGTTTAGGGTTTAGGGTTTAGGGTTTAGGGTTAGGGTTTAGGGTTTAGGGTTTAGGGTTTAGGGTCCTAAACCCCAGACTTTGGGGAGTCTGTGAATGCAGGGCTTCAGGGCAGGATGGTGGTCCCTGGTCTAGGTGGTACGTGAGAACCAGAACCTAACTAGCCACGACTGCCGGGTTTGAGGTTCACCCTTAAAGAGCTTCATCTCTAGACCCTAAACCCTGAACGGTCTAGGGTCAACCCTAACCCCTAAACCCCAAACCCCAAACCCTAACCCCTAAAGCCTAAACCCACGGGTAGTTGGGGTGGGGGTTGCAAAGGATCCCACAGCTGATGGCCGAAATGTCGGGGCCTCCTCCCACCGCGCCCCCTTCCTGGCTTCAGGGGTTACAAGTTTAGCACCCTAAACCCTAAACCCTAAACCCTAAACCCTAAACCCTGAACCTTGGGCATTGGCTTGAGAAGACCGAGATTGAGTGTTCATGGGCCATGTTGTGCTACGTGTAGATTGCCTGATGCAGAGGTCAGGGGTGGTCTCGGAGCTTAGATTGAGAAAGCGAAGCCCTATGCCTATATCCACCTTAAACGGGACCCTCAAAAAACCCTGAAACCCAAACCCCAAACCCTAAACCGTAATCTGCGCTTACGCCTGCCAAAAAATTGGAACAAGTGGGAGCCTCGAGGCTTCCGGGTCAATTTTCGATAGGGTTTCGGGCTTGGGATTTAGGGGCTTGGGGGTTTATAAGAGTGTAGATTCTAAGAGTGTAGAGTTTCAGGGTTTGAGGTTTAGGGTTTAGGGGCTTACGGTTGGGGTTTTGGGTTTTGGGTTTAGAGGCTTAGGGGTTGCGAGAATCGGCTTGCTTTTGGAACTCCTTGCACATGCTGTGGCACCCACCACTCCGAACTTAGCTATGTCGGAGAAAACCTTCTTCAGGAGTTCCGAGAGACCTCACCTGACTGAGAACCAAGGGTTTAGGGTTTAGGGTGTTAGGGCTTTAGGGCTTTAGGGCTTTAGGGTTTTAGGGTTTTAGGGTTTTAGGAGTTTAGGGGTTCAGGCGTCTTGTGGAGTTTATTTAAGAGATTGGGGGTTCTTCCACGGGAGGTCCCATCCACATGTTCCACTGCAACCCCAAACCCTAAACCCTAAACCCTAAACCCCAAACCCTAAACTCTAAACCCTAAACAGTAAACCTTAAACCTTAAACCTTAAAACTGCTGCACTGGGGCATCCAGCTCGCAGGCAGCCAGGAGGGTGCCGAAGACGACCACGTTGGGTCTTCAGGGGCCAAGAATCTTCCGAACCCTCCAAGGGAACCCTAAACCCTATATCCTAAACCCCAAACCCTACATCCCAAAACCCCAACTTAACACGTGCATCTTGGTATTCAGCCCGCTCATCTTTGCGTAAGAACGCCCCCCCCCCCCCCTCCCCCCCACAATGAAAGACAACTAATCCCTATATTGCCCCTCTCAGGAAAATATGCAGTTTATTGTTTGGAGGGGGTTCTGGAGCAAATTCGTAGTCATGCAGAAACCCCAAGCTGAAGCTCTTTCGGGTTCATGGGGGTTTCGGGTTTCGGGCTGAGGCGTCTTACGCTTCGTAAAGATCCCGGGCGTTCGCCTTGGCGCGCGCAAGGCGAGCGCCTGCGGGCCATGGTCTCAGGGTAGTTCTATGGTCCCTGAAGATGGGTGTGAGTGTTCAGGGTTTAGGGTTTAGGGGTCCCTCAGGATGGGGCATATAAGCGGTCCCCAAGTAAGGGCCAATAGAAAGGGGCCTTAGATACGGGGGAACGCGGGGGCTGTTGAGGGCTTAGGGCTTAGGGCTTCGGGCTGCTCTAAGTTTCTGTGAAGGGTCTCACAAGTTTAGGATGGTTTAAGGTTTAGGGTTTAGGGTTTAGGGTTTAGGGTTTAGGATGGTTTAGAGTTTAGAGTTTGCGCATGAAGCACTGAAGGAATAAAGGGTGCGCAGGTCGGCGCCTCAAAAAAAGCTTTAGAAGAGGTACGACAGAAGCCACCCTGAAATTTAAGGGGTATAAGGAGGGAGCCCTAGAAGGCACCCTTAATCTCATTCCCCTGTACATCCTCTATATATATATATGTATATATATATATATATATGTGTATACGCCTTTTATAGTCCCTATAAGGGTCCCTCACTTAGTCCCTTGAGAACTTGCCCGGGGTTGAGAAGGACGAAATGGGATCAGCGTCTTGGGGCGCAGTGTTGTCGGGGGTTGGTGAAGGTGTCTTTCTGTTGGGTGGGCGTGGCGAAGATTACGTCGACTATAGTCTCATAAAAAAGATATGCAAACCCATGCGCCGGGGATGCTCCCAAAGGCCCGACACCTCAATGTCGCAGAGGCCGAAACCACTAAGCCTTTCAACAGAACTTCTCCCCTTCCGCCTGCACTTCTTCAATCCCCCAAGCCCTTCTGCTCTGAACCCCCCCCCCCTGCAGCCGAGCATTGTGAACTAAGAACCCTAAACCCTAAACCCTTAACCCTTAACCCTTAACCTAAGCCCTAAACCCTAAACCCCAAAATTAGCGCCTGCTCCCAAAGCGCAGCGCGCACGAGGGCCGAGCCCACCCCGCTGAAAGAAGCAGCCTCTGGCTGCGAGAGAAATCGGCGGAAGGACTCTAGAATGCAAACCCCGAAAGAAACCGAAGAAACCCCGAAAGAAACCCCAATGAAGCCCTGAATACCCCCCAAAGAAACCCCGAAGCCCAAATAGCCCAAAGCCCTGAAGCTTGGAAAGTGCTTCAATTGCAGGGACTGGGAGAGACTTGAGGCTTGTTTCGGGTAGGTTTAGGCTTTAGGGTTTAGGGTTTAGGGTTTAGGGTTGAGGGTTTAGGGTTTACGGTTTAGGGTTTAGAGTAGCTGCATGACAGCAGGGGGGAGTTGATAAACAAATAGACTGTTCCCATGTTTCCGTTACAAAACCAATATTTTCAGGAACCCTTGATCATTTCCCGGAAGGGTTTTCAGGGTTTAGGGTTTAGGGTGTAGGGTTTAGGATTTAGGGGACCTTTAGATCAACCCCCACGAGCACCTGGCAGATACTGTTCACGCCTGTAGAGCGAGCCGTCTTCATGCTGTACAAAGAGTTTCAATAGAGGCGAGCGCGCTTCCCGCCACTTGCTTCAGCCCAATCATCTTTGATGATGGGCGCTTCACATTGCGATTATGGACACGCCAGAGGGAGTTCTACAAAACATTGCGCCAGATGAGTCGACTTCACCAGGTTTCCAATGGCTCCCAGGCCCAATCACGGCGTCGACAAGCAATCCCTTGCTCCGAGTCAGCTCTCGGTCCCAGATAAGCTGACCTTACTAGCCCAGGAACCATCTTATAATAAGGGCACCCTTTTTTTGGGGTTGGTGACTTATGAGGGAAACCCTAAACCCTAAACCCTAAACCCTACACCAGGGCTACCAAGTGACCCAAAGCCCGGATCTTCCGCTCGAATCGCTGCGTGCCAATCGTGCCGATGACATGGCGCAGTCGCAGCTCCTCGTTTGGATCATAGCAGCTGGAGACCTTCGTAGCCCAGCAACTATGTTATAACGAGGGCACCCTTTTTGGGGTTGTTGACTTTAGAAGGGAACCCAGAACAAAAAAAGGGAAAAAGTGATACCACTGGGCTACCAAGTTTTAAGGGGAATAAGGCTTGAATTTTGGAGGGACCCCTAGAAACTTATTCCCCCACATAACCCCTATATATAGAGTCCGGGGGACTGTGGGCGTGCACTTTTTTTGTGTTTTTTACTCTCTCGTACTTGATAACTACCGTTCAATCTTCAGGTGATGATCTCTCTCATCTTAATTACGAAATTGCCTTTTCATTATTTGTGCGAGAACATGCTATGCATGAAGTGCTACTACGGAAACAGCTTTTCAGATTAAGTGAGTATCCCAGTGTGTTAGGCTATGGCAAGATATGCAGGTGAGTCTATACCTGGCTTAGTTCGTGAACTAGGAGGACAAGACGGAGAACTCACTTCGATGAGGCTGTTGGTCAAGTAGCAGGTCAAAAACTCAAAGGACCAGAGACACGACCCATCAAGTGCGATCGTCGGAACGGCGTCGGTCCCCTCCCAACGACCTACCCTTGCTTCAGCTTTTCTTAGTATCGTCAGAACAACGAATCCTAAAATCGCATATTTGAACACCGGGAAATGAAGGACAGCTATTGGGACAATGGGGACACCCGCCTCACAGGCTCCGATAAGCCAGCATTGGGCTACTCCATGTTTTGAATCTTGACAGGACAATGCTGGCTTTGTAGTTTGTATGTGTTAATGTATTTTGGCAACTTGTTCTTTCGAATGGCAAAGAATGTTGTTTTATTGGATAAGTTGTAGTTTCGCAAGGCAAAGTATTAATCAAATGCCATGCGGAAAGTCCGCTGAAGTACTTTGTTTTAATGCATGAATGTATATTATACAAAGCATTCGCCCTATGCGAGTTTAACTACTGCAGCACTTAGTATATAGCTGAATATTGACTAAATGAATTCAACTTAGAAGGTTGTTTTTTGTACAACTCAAGTACGCACTAGACACCTTGAGTTTCATAATAATGAAACCAATGCTACTGAAGTACTAGTTAAAGACTACTGATGCGCGATGCCTGAAAAGAGACAGGCTTTAAAATACACATTTCTCATAGTAAAGTAGTTGTTGCCTCACAAAGGTCATAGCACAAGTAAATTCACAAACGCAAAAAACATCCCGAAATGCAAGCTTTTCAGGAGAAACTCTGGTGAAGTTTGGATTTGTGGGTTTTAAAGTCTGTCTAAATAAGTAAAGCAACTGTTTGAGCAAATAACTCTAGGCAACAAACCTGTTTCCAGACAAATATTGCTTCTACTAGGCAAAATATTGCTCAACCATGCAGTACTCATTACATGTTGATTCGACCAATCTAGCAGTCAGTGAATATTCAATTATAGGGTGAGTACAAGATTTATTAAATTTACACAGAATATGACATAATGCTCAGTAAATGGTACTTGACTACAGAAAACTAATTCAATTACGTACGAATGAAATACCATTCATATACTATTCGCTTAGACAAGTACAATTTACATAGAAAAGCCTTGAAAAGCACAAATTCCTAAGAACCATACCATCCACCCAGTAAAGGCTATAGTACTGAGCATGGGGGCAGAATGCTCAAACGCTCTTTACATGCTACTTGAATATGAAACTAAATTATTCATGTACCCATTAAATACAGTACACTTTAAGTGTACGATGCACAGACAAGTACAATTTGCAAAGAAAAGCGTAGAAAAGCACAATTTTCTTAGAGGGAAGGGGGGCTCAGGCAGTACGGAAAAGCACAAAAGAGCCACAAACGCACAAAAACACACAAAAAGCCAAAATTAGCAAAAAGAACATGAAAGCCAAACAAATATATTTCAGGCTTCTCCACAATATTCTCACGGAAAACCAAGAAACGACAATATTTCAGGACTTTCCATCAAATCTGTACGGAAAACCAAAAAAACAAAAAAAACCAAAAAAAACAATTTTCAGGGACTCTTCGAAATTAGGCCATCTGCTGGAAGAGTCCTGAAATATTGTTTTTTTTGGTTTTTTTGGTTCTTTTAGTTTTTTTGGTTTTTTTGGTTCTTTTGGTTTTTTTGGTTTTTTTTATTTTCGGTACGGATTTTCCGTACGGTTTTGGTGGAGAGTCATGAAATATTGTTCTTCTTTAGTTTTTTTGTTATCCGTGGGACTGGAGAGTCTAGAAATATTGTTGTTACTTGGGTTTTTTTGGTTCTTCAACAGCGACAAAAGGCAGAGAAAGTGCACGCCCAGAGTCCCCCGTTTTGTATATATATATATATACCTTATAAAGTCCCTATATATATATATATATATAGATATACCTTACAGAGTCCCTATATACCTAAGTAGCCCCAAGAGACGGAACAGTCGAAGGCGGTCAGTTGCAAGAGTGCTTCCTCGCTGAGAGGAATCACCAGCAGCAGGTTCAAGGCCACCTGCACCTCTGGGCTTCTTTAGGGTTTAGGGTTTGGGGTTTGGGGTTTAGGGTTTAGGGTTTAGGGTTTCGGGTTCAGGGTTTGGGGTTTAGGGTTGGGGATCCTAAAGGTGTAACACCGAAAGAAGCAGAAGTTGTCTATCAAGCTAGGCTTTCAACCCACAGCTTACGCCCCTAGGTCCTTTAGGGTTTAGGGTTTAGGGTTTAGGGTTTAGGGTTTAGGGTTTAGGGTTTAGGGTTTAGGGTTTAGGGTTTAGGGTTTAGGGTTTAGGGTTTAGGGTTTAGGGTTCCTATCATGTCCTATCGCTGGTGGGCCAACTACCAATGCTTGCACAGCTCTCGTTAAGCCGAGCAGCCGGCATGAAGGACAACAGGACGCAAAGTTCCCATGCACACCTGGCAGATGTGACAAGGGGTTCTCAGGCCAAAAAAATAGACAAGGTGGTGCTTTTGTGGCATATACTTTTGCTGCAACCCTTGGAATAGAAGAGCTAGCGAGTCGAATGAAGGAACAATTGCACACCGACTTCCCTGGAAAGGGAGACTCTTGTCTAAACCCTAAACCCTAAACCCTAAACCCTAAACCCTAAACTTGACCAGCCACCAGAGGCGAGTGGGATAGGTTGGCCCGCACAGAACGAGCACCTGCCGACAAGCCATGACGTTGACGGGCAACACACGCAGGCCATCTGCGATCTGTCGCTGGTCAATGCAAAACTTGTCCTTGGCAGCCAAGCAACCACATTGCAATAAGGCTAGCCCTTTTAGGGTTTAGGGTTTGGGGGTTCGGGGTTACTTATTAAGTAACCATATTACGATAAGGGTGCCCTTTTTTGGGTTGGTTACTTTACAAGGGGTCCTGAACCCAATAAAGGGAGCACTATAGCGGCCTCAACAATTTCAATAGGGTTTTGGGGGTTATTACAGTATGGGTTTAAAGGGACCATAAGACAATGCTATTCGGAATTATTCCGACCCCTACATTAAACCCTAAACCCTAAACCCTAAACCCTAAACCCTAAACCCTAAACTCTAAACCCTAAACCCTAAACCCTAAACCTTAAACCCTAAACCCTGAACCCAATAAAAGGGAAGAAGGGTACGACTGGGCTGCCCTGGTGTCAATCCAAAAGGTCGGAATAGTCCAATTATAACCACACTAGGGTACTTTGGGGCTTATGAATGGGCTATAACTACGGCTACACGTGGGTTATAAGTACCCTGAACCTCCTAAACCCTAAACCCTAAACCCTAAACCCTAAACCCTGAACCCTAAACCCTAAACCCTAAACCCTAAACCCTAAACCTAAACCCTAAACCCTAAACCCCACTGGGCCACCCAAGTGTCAATCCAGAAGGTCGGATATCGGCCATGATGCTCCCGGAAGCTGTCTGCGACCAGCCGGAGAGCTCGCCACTTCTCTTCCGGGGAGTCCTATACTACACTTTGCTTAAGAACCCCCCCCCCCAAAAAAAAAAAAAAACATCAATAAATAAATACGTAAATAAAAAATTAAACCTATATATACATATACAAATATATTACACCTTACAAGGGCTGCATAGGGATTGTTGTCTTTCATTCTTGTGGGATTCTTAAGCAAATTGAAAGAGTAGGATAGCAAGTCAGGCAAACGAGGGGTCATGCAACACCACGCGGAAAAGAGGGCTGAACAAGCTTATGACTACAAATACTGCTACTAGAACATGAGTATATTCACAATTGAATATATCTCTTTTGTATTCTTCTATTGGAGCATGAGTATACTCAAAATTTGTATATGGGCATTTCCCTAAACAGGGGTAACCCGTTTATACCCCAAAAAGAATAGAATCCCTTTAAAGTTATCCCCAAAACGGGGTAACCCTAGCATGCTAACATAGGCAAAGTGGCAGACCACGAGTGCGAGACAAAGAAGTCGATGACTTCGCCTTTGCCGACTGGACGCGAGAGCTCGAAACCAGGTCCCGAACTCTGCATCCACAGCTCCTGACTTTGAGACGCCCAGTCCACCTCATGGTTGGGTTTTTGGGGGTTTGGGGTTTCGGGCGCTATGGTTTAGGGTTTTTGCGGGCTTACCACGCGTTCAGAGGTGTCAGTAGCACTGGGTCTGTCAGAGACGGACTCAGTGCAGTAGACAGGCGAGCTCTTCTGGATGGAGACAAAGCGAGAGATTTGAGATCTGTTTCAGAGGTACAAAAACATCTGCTTTGGAGAGTGGGCAGTGGAATCCATGAGCACAGCTGGTGTCGTACATGTCGTGCCAAGCCACGCAGCGTAGACGGCGGCGCCCTAGGTCGAGGAGCTCGCGCCAGGGCCTATACTCCCCTTAGAACCTCAACAACAAAATTTGTTTTTAATATCCTCTTGGGTTCTATATAAAAATAAAAAACAGATATCTTAATATCCTCTTGGTTTTTATATAAACAAAAAACGGTTCCCAAGGGGGATCTAGGGGCATTACTTGCTGGTTGCGGTGGACTTGAAAGCCCCGGAGGCCTTCACCCTGAAAGCCCCGGAGGCCTTCAGCCTGAGGAAGGCTCTCATCACCTTCACGTGTGCCTTGCGCTTTCTCGAAGTGGACCCAAAAGCTCTTGCCGTCGTCAGCAACTTTCGCTATCGTGCCCTTGAGAAAGCCTGGGCGTCGGTCATTCGGCAGGCTGTTCGTCTTGGAGACGGACAAGGTGCAACCGACGGCCATGCCCTTCATCTTCGGCAACCAAGAGGCGACATCCTTGCCTTGGTAGCCCAGGAACCCTAAACCCTAAACCCTAAACCCTAAACCCTAAACCCTAAACCCTAAACCCTAAACCCTAAACCCTAAACCCTAAACCCGGGTTAGGGTTAATTACTTTTTATAAGGGAGCCCAGAACCAAAAAAAAAGGGAAAAGGGTACCACTGGGCTACCAAGTTGCTTGACGCAACTTCGGCTTCGGAGAGCCACCAAGGTTGGCCCACTTCGACCACGTAGGAGTCCAGCAGCATGGCCTTGGTAGCCCAGTAACCATAGGTTTAGGGTTTAGGGTTTAGGGCTTAGGGCTTAGGGTTTAGGGCTTAGGGCTTAGGGTTTAGGGTTTAGGGTTTAGGCCTTAGGGTTTAGGGTTTAGGGTTTAGGGTAACCATATTATACTAAGGGCACCCTTTTTGGGGTTGGTTATTTTCATAAGGGAACCCATGACCCACAAAAAGGGGTAAAGCTTACCACTGGGCTACCAAGTGGCCATGAAGGCCCCGTCTTGCAGTCGTCGGCTCTGGTCGAGCCACTGGGCTAGTCCATCGAACAGGCGCTTCCGCCCTACGCAGAGGACGAGGAGGAGTGGCAAGAGCACGACCACGGCGATACTAAAGGAGGTTAGCACTGCTATGTCGAGCTGACGACCGGCCTCCCACTTCTTGTGATGGAGAGCCAGGTCGACGCCACGACAGGCATAGTAACTGCTGTTCCAGGTTATGGCCATGTAGCTTCCCGCATAAAACCGGGAGGTGGAGGGAAACCGCCTCCACCAGAGCCAGATCTGCAGTGCGAATGCCATGGTTGCATGGACCGCCAACCACACATCTGTGCCAAGTCCTTCCTCCTGCAGGGAGATCTCATTCACCTTAGTTGCTGAGTTCATAAGGTGGTTTCCAATTTTTATTGGGGGGGGGTACCTTTTTGGGATCCTTCTTGTAAGGGAATCCTACTCGTTGGGGTTTATTTTGGGGGTCCCCTACTGTCGTAAACCCGCATAATCCCCTAAAAAGTGCACTCTCTCAGTTCCTACAGGGAATTCTTTCGTATCGCAAACAAAGGTGCACAAAGTGCACTCATTTAACTGCTAAGTCACAGTTGATGCGAAGATCACGTCCAGGTACCACACCTCCATGAGGACAGCAACCCTAAACCCTAAACCCTAAACCCTAAACCCTAAACCCTAAACCCTAAACCCTAAACCCTAAACCCTAAACCCTAAACCCTAAACCCTAAACCCTGAACCCTAAACCTAAAGTCTTGCTACCACACCTCCATGAGGACGGCAAAGGATGGCAGCCATCTGTAGCTGGTGCAGGGCGAACCTGAGGTTGACCCTTAGACCCTTTGAAAGGTTTAGGGTTTAGGGTTTAGGGTTTGGAGTTTGGGCTTTAGGGTTTGGGGTTTGGGGTTGTATATAGTGTCACTTATAAAACCCAAATAAGGGAAGTCACAAAACATCCCAGAGGCCAAGCTAGGAAGCAGTAGATGCAGCCGTGGACCAACATCAGGATGGAGACGACGCAGGAGAGCCAGCGGGGAATCGGAAGCTCCCAGAGCCGCGTGGCAGCGGTTGTCACCGGCAGCAGCCCCACGAAGATGCAAAGTACCGGCCTTGCATGCACAAAGGAGTTGAAGTTGAGCTCGTTGACGGGGCAGGTGGAAGTTATGGCCACAGTGGCCGATGTCAGAAACCAGCCCAGGGCACTAAAGCCCGAAACGACATGCTCTGCGGCGCGTCCAGCCGGGATGATACGCCAGAGGACTTCGGTCAAGATGGCGATCGAGATGCCGGCAATCAAAGTCCCCATCGCCGTCTGAAGGACATAGTAGAAGGACCGGAGCCTTTCGATCCTTGGTTGCTCTTTAACCCCCCCAATAAAAGCTTAAATTTTTGCTCCCGTAATAAGAAATTAGAGGAGTCCAAAACTTATAAAGTCCCAACTAGGATCTTGCGTTGAAGCGCAAACTCCTCGAGCTTGCTTCTTGAGGAGTCACCTGATTTAGGCGTGGAGATGGAAAGCTCCGGGTTTACTGCCTCAAGGTTCGCGGGATCCAGTTGAAAAAGGTCCACGCTATCCTCGATAGCTGCAACAGCTACGCGATCTGGCTGCTGGAAATCATTGCTCATGAGAGGCTTTCCGACCAAACTCCTTGGCTCCCATCCTCTTCAAGGCTACTCTACAAAAGTCTTTGAGCAGCAGGTGCGGCAAGCTTCCCTCCTTCAACTGGCTGTTGCTGGAGCACCCCAGCTTGATCTTGCACGAAGCAGTACCCTAAACCCTAAGACCTAAACCTTACATGCCCTAATGCCCTAAACCCTGAAATCCTAGAGCCCTTAAACCCCTAAACCCTCAACCCATCCCTTTGCTTGTGGCTGTAGAGCATAATGGACCAAGACTTTGCACCGGGCAGATCAAGGGGAAAACAGTCATTCTTGAACGTACACCCTAAACCCTAAACCCTGAACCCTGAACCCTGAGCCCTCAGCCCTAAGCCCTAAAACCTACAAAGGCTGAGGTACCCGGCATCTGGAGCCAGGCTGGGGGAGCTCTGCAGCTCCTCGAGAAGCCGAAGGGCCTGCTCAAAACCGAACACTTCCTCTGTTATGGTTTTGGGTTTAGGGTTTAGGGCTTAGGGTTTAGGGTTTAGGGTTTAGAACCCGAAAATCCTAAACCCCTAAGCCCTAAACCTCTACTAAACCCCTATTCATCCCTAAACCCTAAACCCTAAACCCTAAACCCCAAACCCCTAAACCCTAAACCCAAAACCCTTGGGGCTTTGGGTTCAGGGCTTAGCGAGAGTCCCCAATGGCCTTGGGGCTCAGGGTATTGCACCTTGAAGCATCCCTACAATCCCCAACCCTAAGCCCCAAGAGGAGAAACAGGATGCGCAACAAGGAGATTCTCAAACATAATCAGGGAACCTCCCCAAGCCTTTTTTCTTGCAGACAGCCTTTGAGTCTTTTAAATCGTGGGGGTATTGTATGATTAGCACCTACAACAGGCAGGTTGGGCGTTCCTAAGGTAGTCTTATCAGCTCGTCAGCAAGTTGAAATCCCTGACCTGACTCCCTAGACTACATCCGAAAGCCTGAAGCCAGAAACTTAAGCTTGCACCCCTAGCTAATCCCTGAGCCTCAAGCCTGCACGCGCATCCTTCATGAGACCAGCGAATCCTGTAAGCCCCAAACCCTTATCCCACATCGAAACCCCCTGAATACCTTGTCAGCCAGGGTGAAGGCCGAATCAGGGGAACAGATTCCGAGACCAGCAGGGCCGAATCAGAGACCAGCAGGGGGGAATCAGAGACCAGCAGGAGACCAGATTCAGAGACCAGGCAGCCAGATTCTGAGACCAGACACGGGATTCCGAGACCAGCAGGGCCGAATCAGAGACCAGCAGGGGGGAATCAGAGACCAGCAGGAGACCAGATTCAAAGACCAAGCTCCCAGATTCCGAGACCAGACATCGGATTCAGAGACCAGGCTCGCGAGTACAGACTCCAGCCGACCCGACCCGCCCCACTGACCCCTGACCCCCGACCAAGCAACCCACCCGACCAGCCCGACCAACCCAACCGCCTGACCGCCTCGACCAATCCGATCGACCCGACGAACCCAACCAACCCGACCAACCCAGCCAGGGACCCTCACAAGTGGGCGAGGCGACCGAAAGAGTAGACCATTGCATTCAGTCACCATGACGCACCCTTGTGGCAGAATGCTGTCGGCACGGTCCTGTGGCGCAGTAACAAGACGACCCGACCCACCCCACCGGCCCCTGACCCCCGACCAAGCAACCCACCCGACCAACCCGACCAACCCAACCGGATCCGACCCGCTCGACCGCCCCGACCAATCCGATCGACCCGACCAACCCAACCAAACCGACCCACGCAGCCCAAGCAGCCAGGGACCCTCACCAGTGAACGCAGCGACTGAAAGAGTAGACCATTGCATTCAGCCACCATGACGTACCCTCGTGGCAGAATGCTATCGGCACCGTCCTGTGGCGCAGCAACAAGCCGACCCGACCCACCCCACCGGCCCCTGACCCCTTGACCAAGCAACCCACCCGACCCACCCGACCAACCCAACCGGACCTGACCCGCCCGACCGCCCTGACCAATCCGATCGAACCGACTAACCCAACCAACCCGACCCAATTCAAGCAGCCAGGGACCCTCAGAAATGGACGAAGGGACCCGACCAACCCGACCAACCCAACCGGACCCGACCCGCCCGACCGCCCCGACCAATCCGATCGACCCGACCAACCCAACCAACCCGACCAACCCAATTCAAGCAGCCAGGGACCCTCAGAAGTGGGCGAAGGGACCCGACCAACCCGACCAACCCAACCGGACCCGACCCGCCCGACCGCCCCGACCAATCCGATCGACCCGACCAACCCAACCAACCCGACCAACCCAACCCAAAGTTTGGGAGGTACCAAACCCACGATGCGGACATTGTCTGGCCAAATGGGGGGGGGCTGCGCCCCCCCCAACCCCCCCGTTTTTTTGTTTTTCTCCTTGGGCTTGTGCCGTTTGTTTTTACTCGGACAGGCCTGCTTCAAAAGAATCCGTTCCAAACCCATTTTTTACTCGGGCAAGCCTGCTTCAAACGAATCCCTTCCAAACCCACGATGCGGGCATTGTCTTGGCAAATGGGGGGGGCTGCGCCCCCCCCAACCCGCCCGCTTGTATTTTATGCTCGGGCAAGCCTGCTTCAAACGAATCGCTTCCAAACCCATGATGCGTGCATTGTGTTTGCAAATGGGGGGGGGGATTTTCCTCGGGCTCGTGCCGTTTGTTTTTACTGGGGCAGGCCTGCTTCAAAAGGATCCCTTTCAAACCCATTTTTTACTCGGGCAAGCCTGCTTCGAACGAATCCCTTCCAAACCCACGATGCGGGCATTGTCTTGGCAAATGGGGGCAAGCCTGCTTCAAACGAATCGCTTCAAACCCATGATGCGTGCATTGTGTTTGCAAATGGGGGGGGGGGCTGCGCCCCCCCGAACCCCCCCGCTTGTCTATTTTCCTCGGGCAGGCCTGCTTCAAACGAATCCCTTCCAAACCCACGATGCAAACATTGTCTTGGCAAATGGGGGGGGGCTGCGCCCCCCCCAACCCCCCCGCTTTTCTATTTTCCTCGGGCAAGCCTGCTTCAAACGAATCTATTCCAAACCCACGTTGCGGACATTGTCTTGCCAAATGGGGGGGGGCTGCGCCCCCCCCAACCCCCCCGCTTTTTTTTTTTTCTCCTCGGGCTTGTGCCGTTTGTTTTTACTCGGACAGGCCTGCTTCAAAAGAATCCGTTCCAAACCCTTTTTTTTTACCTCGGGCAAGCCTGCTTCAAACGAATCGCTTCCAAACCCATGATGCGTGCATTGTGTTTGCATATGGGGGGGGGGATTTTGCTCGGCCTCGTGCCGTTTGTTTTTACTCGGGCAGGCCTGCTTCATTATGAATCCGTTCCAAACCCATTTTTTACTCGGGCAAGCCTGCTTGGAACGAATCCCTTCCAAACCCACGATGCGGGCATTGTCTTGGCAAATGGGGGGGCTCGGGCAAGCCTGCTTCAAACGAATCGCTTCAAGCCCATGATGCGTGCATTGTGTTTGCAAATGGGGGGGGGGCTGCGCCCCCCCGAACCCCCCCGCTTGTCTATTTTCCTCGGGCAGGCCTGCTTCAAACGAATCCCTTCCAAACCCACGATGCAGGCATTGTCTTGGCAAATGGGGGGGGGCTGCGCCCCCCCCCCAACCCCCCCGCTTTTCTATTTTCCTCGGGCAAGCCTGCTTCAAACGAATCTATTCCAAACCCACGATGCGGACATTGTCTTGCCAAATGGGGGGGGGCTGCGCCCCCCCCAACCCCCCCGCTTTTTTTTTTTTTTCTCCTCGGGCTTGTGCCGTTTGTTTTTACTCGGACAGGCCTGCTTCAAAAGAATCCGTTCCAAACCCCTTTTTTTACCTCGGGCAAGCCTGCTTCAAACGAATCCCTTCCAAACCCACGATGCGGGCATTGTCTTGGCAAATAAACCAGTGGTTACAACAATGAACCCTTTGCTTTCTCTTGATAAACCCTTGGTTTCGGCAGCCACCCTGTCTGGTCTCTGATTCAGCCCTGCCTGGTCTCTGATTCGGGCTTGCCTGGTCTCTGATTCGGCCCTGTCTGGTCTCTGATCCTGAGGGGGGTGATTCTGGCATCTGGTCTCTGATTCTGCCTTTCTGGTCTCTGATTCCGAGCCTGGCCTCTGATTCGACCCTCTGGTCTCTGATTCGACTCTCTGGTCTCTGATTCGTATTTTTTCCTGTCAGCCAAACAAAAACTAATCCTCAACATAAACCCTTCTCGACTTCTCGAATCAAAGCCCTCCCGGCATACCAACTCCAACCCCAAACGAATGTGCCCTTCTCGTATCTTGGTTGAGGGGTTGTAGGCTTTCGGGTCTGATATCAGGGGATACCATAGCGGATACCCAAAAAAGACACCGCCGCAGCCCCCCTTGAGCCCTGAACCAAAAATGCAAGTGTGTGGAGACTAACGTGTGGGCCGTATTCAGCCCTCGCTCTTTTGCATACCATCCCCCCTGGTGAGACAATTAAGTTCAGAAAGGCCTCGCGCCAGTCGCTGCTGCGCGAGCATGCTGCAATGGTGGCATTGAATGCCAGGACCTCAGGCTAAGCCCACCCTAAACCCTAAACCCTAAACCCTAAACCCTAAACCCTAAACCCTAAACCCTAAACCCTAAACCCTAAACCCTAAACGCTAAACCCTAAACCCTAAACCCTAAACCCTAAACCCTAAACCCTAAACCCTAAACCCTACATACATGAGTGAGGACTTGGAACCAATGGACTCCAAGCATTTAAGGGCCTTTGGGGGTTTACGATAGGAGTACCTTATGGGGGGTCCATATTACAAGGCGATCCTACTATTTGGGAGTCTATATCAGGGGTCCCCCCATTTAGAGTTCATAGCGTTTACAGTGATCGGGTCAAGAGACGAAGAGCCAGTTGTCGGACCCTAAACCCTAAACCCTAAACCCTAAACCCTAAACCCTGGTGCTTGCTTGGCAGAGACCCGTTCCTACTGCTCAGTGGCGTAAGGGCCCGGCATCGAGCTGAGCACCAGACCTTTTCACGTAGGCAAGCATTAATAGGGGATAGGATTAGGGGGCCCCTTGGCGATATAGACTCTCTGAATAAGGTCCCTGCTTAAGAGAGCCAGAAGAGGGTTAAGAAGGGGTTCCCTTTAAGGGTCCCCCCTATCCTACCTAGGAATGAACATTTAGCAAGTACCAGGTGAGGTATTCAGCCAGATCTGGTGCCGCCAACAGGAATCTCTCGCATGGCATGTTCTTTCTGCACGCAGACGGGTCTTCGGGATCACGACGTGCGGCGTTCAGAGTACGCCAGCTCACCCTCAGCACGATGTCCTGAGACTTCGGACGGGGGTTGACGAAGTTGACGGTGACCCAAGACGGGGTGGTCGAAGGCAGTCGAGAGCTGCATCTCGACAGTTCTTGGTGGTGTCCAGGTGCGCGTCGGCCGCCATCGACTTCGTGGACAGTTTTGCACCCTAACGAACATCTCGCAGGCCACCGGTACATGCCCAGATGCTGGAGACCTCGAAGTCAAACAGGTGCACCCACCTCGGACAAGTCTGCTGTTTCTCAGGAAGAACCCAATTCCCCCTATGTAAGGAGGTGACTAAGGGCTCTTCCTTGCAGCAATTGGGTGTGGGGAGCTTTTTGGATGCCCTTTTGAATCAGGACGCGGTGGACTTGGTAACGTAGAAAAGCAGCTTCGCCCCTGGCTCCGAAACACGCTATAAGAAGCCTAAACTCCTGTACTGTAAAGCCTGCCATCCAGTCTGCTCCACACCCTGATTCCTGAGCCGCAACCCCATGCACCCCTAATTTTAGGTGCCTTGAACTCCCTTAAAGGTACCCTAAATCCCAAAACCCCCAAAAGCCCGAAACCCTAAACCCGAAAACCCTACACCCTAAATCACTATTCCTAAAAAAATGCACAAACCTTAAACAACTTTCCTAGGCACAAAAACCCTGTGCACAAAAGCTCATTGTTCATTACCATAGGCACAAAAGTCGTGGGCAAAGTCACAAAAACACGTGGGCACAGGCACAAAGAGGGCACCGGCACCAAAAATCGGGGGCAAGGGCACGCCCTTTCGTGGGCCCAGGCCCCTTCGCACAGGCACGCCCATTCTCTCTGGATACCACATGCCGGAACTGGCAAAGGCTAAACAGAGAGTGCGACACTCATTTTGCTCATGGGTCCGTCGGCAAAGGCCCCTACAGGTTTTCTGGCGGACCAACAAGCAAAATGCTTGTCTTACCACGGAATTGGAGAGGAACAGGAAACAGGTCTCAACTCGGAAGTGGAGGGAAACAGTCTTGTTGTGGTGTGCCTTGTCGCGTGTCACCCGTTACATGTTCTTAATGTATGGAAACCCTAAACCCTAAACCCTAAACCCTAAACCCTAAACCCTAAGGGATTCGTTGGGCGGGCGGCATTTCATCTGCGTCGACGCCAACAGCTCGACTAGGGATGCGCAGGCTGGAGCTGCTAAACTGATTCATAACGATTTTTCCTAAACTCCCTAACCTCCCCTAAATTAAACGCTAAACCCTAAACCCCATCCAAAAACCTAAACCCTAAACCCTAAAATCCTGAAACCCTAAACCCTAAACCCTGGACCTTGAACCCTAAACCCTAAACCTGAATCCTAAGCCAAGTCGCACGTTGGCCGCCACCTTGGAGCCATTTTTGACAGGCCTGGCAGCATGCATGGTGCGCTCGTCCTGGACCTCAGTTTTCATGGGCAGATTGAGGTTTAGGTTTAGGGTTTAGGGTTTGGGGTTTAGGGTTTAGCATTTAGGGTTCAGGGTTTAGGGTTCAGAGTTGTCCAGTACGGTTCAGGGTTTGGGGTTTGGGGTTTGGGGTTTGGGGTTTGGGGTTTGGGGTTTGGGGTTTGGGGTTTGGGGTTTGGGGTTTGGGGTTTGGGGTTTGGGGTTTGGGGTTTGGGGTTTGGGCTGTAGGGCTTAGGGTCTTAAGTGCTAGTATTCCGAAAAGGACAACCAAGATCTACACTCGCCATTGTTTGTAGACGAACTTGTATATACACTCACCGACAGCAGCAAAAAGCCTACTTCACAGCAGCTTCCTCTGGTTTTATGGCGAGCTCGGGGTTGGGATATTGAGGGTGGCAGGAGCTTTAGGGCTAGTGGACGTGGCACGACTCTAGACCCTAACCCTGCAAACCCTAAACCCTGGACACCCTAACCCTGCAAACCCTAACCTTGCAACCCTAAACCCTAAACCCTAAACTCTAACCCCCAGCAACACAGAACCCTGCAAGCAACTCCCCAGATCGCCCTCGCGAGATCCTGAATCGCCTATGAAGGGTTTTTGTGGTTTTAGGGTTTAGGGTTAGAGTTGATGTGGTTTAGGGTTTTAGGGTTTTAGGGTTCTTGGCTTTTGGGGTTTTGGGGTTCAGGGCTTGAGGGTTTCAGGGCTTTAGGGTTTGAGGGTTTTGGGCTTTGGGCTTAGGGTCGAGGATTCTTACTGCAGTGGGCTCGTAAGTATAAGTGGGCCCAACCCCCCATTAAAAGAAAGGCGATCAAGGGCCGGAATCCGGGCTGTGTAAGCCCAAGCGACCCCCCGTAAAGGTTGAGGGTTCACCAAAAACAAATTCAGTACCCGCACTGCCATTGGGAGGGGGGGCACCCCAAACCCCAAACCCTCTTGGGCAAACCTCAGCCCCAAACCCTAAACCCCAAACCCCAATCCCCAAAGAGCCCCGAACGATGCATGCCCGAGCTGCTGTTGGGTTTTGGGATTTCACCGACGGCCAGAGCAACGCGGAGCCCTTGCCTCAGTCTGCCAAAGGAGCCAAGGGGTGTTAGGGTTTGGGGTTTAGGGTTTGGGGTTTTAGGGTTTGGGGTTTAGGATTTGGGGTTTAGGGCTTTTAGGGTTTGGGGTTTAGGGCTTTTAGGGTTTTAGGGTTTGGGGTTTTAGGGTTTGGGGTTTCAGGGTCTGGGGTTTTAGGGCTTACTTAGGGTTCAGAGGTGACCCTAAAGTTTGTTGCTGCGGTCGACGCAGCAAGCTCGCGCAATCACAAATGACCTCGTTTCCCCATCTGCAACCGTACCCCCATGACAATGGTTTGGCATCCTCATGGCGTCCTGGAGAGCGAGCAAGTCTTCTGGCACTCTCAAGTTTTGAGGTTTGTCCGAGATGCCACTCGGGCATCGCTGGGACCATATCTATCAGCACGGCCGCCGCTGCAAGGATGCGTCTAGCATCAAGATCCTCATTGGCCGCCATCTTCATTTTCTTGACTTCCAACAGGTGCTCGCACAGCGCGCGATGGAGGGTCAGGGTTCAGCAACGTTAGAACTAGGGTTTAGGGTTTAGGGTTTAGGGTTTAGGGTTTAGGGTTTAGGGTGTAAAGTGCAGCCCCGGGGCAGAAGGGGAACCCTGGGCATGCTCCTATCCGGGGCCCAGCTTGGTTCTGTTCTGGGCTTAGGGCAGTTTTAGGGTTCAGGGTTTTTGGGGTTTATAGGGCTTCGATTTTAGGGTGTAGGGTTGTAGGGTTTAGGGCTCAAAATTTAGAGCTAGAATGGAAACAGGAGCGCACTCATTCAGGGTCTAGGGTTTAGGGCATATAGGGATGAGCAGTTAAGGGCTTCGAACAAAGCTGTGAAAGGGTTTTCGGTCTGGGTTTAGGGGTTAGGGGTTGGTTTAGGGATTCAGGTTTTAGGGTTTAGGGTTTAGTCACGCCAAGAGGCGAGGCCTCACGGAGATGTTGAGCTCAGTAAACTGCCTGTCCCAGGGGCCCAGGGGGTCCGCAGACCCTACACTTAGTTGCTGAGTTCACAAGCCCAAAAGAAGTGTACACTTTCAGTTCTACAGGGGAGTATAGTATCCCAAAAAGTGCAAAGTGTACTCACTCAGCAACTAAGTACATGGGTAGTTTCTCTAAATTAGGTTCCCTTTTAGGTCCTTATTTTAAGTGTGCCGGAGTATATAGGGGACCCAAAAGAGACCCGAATGTAGAGAACTAGCCACACACATATCTGATTCCTGGAACGATTGTGCCTGTTTGTGGTTAGGGCCTCAAAATAACCGTTAGGATTAGGGTTGTTGGGGTCGCAAAAAAGCCAAATTCCAGGCCACTTGGACCCGTCTTGATTTGACGCCACGATGGGGATGGGCCATCTACGCAAATGCTGAAAAGCAATTGTGGTGCAAATGGGGTGTGGTGTGCTGCCCACTAAGCTGCAAGCTAGTCAAGCTGCGTTTCTCCACCTTCTTCCACATCCGACATATAGAGGAAGAAGGTATAGATGCGAGGTCCCGATGCGAAGTGGTTGTCCGTCAGGTTGTGCATGTCATGATGCCGCGCATACTCCTCGCCGACATTGTACTTCCTTGGCCGCTCAGGCCAGTGGAAAGCAAAACCCGAACCCTGAAACCCTCCAATGAGTAGACTTATAATCAGAATCTCCCTGGTAACCCTAAACCCCAAACCCTAAACCCTAAACCCTAAAAGCGGCTCCTACTTCTAAACCAATCCCTAAACCAGAAACCGCAAGCCATGGAGGGTTCCGCTGAGCGGCAAGAACTGCATCGTCTCAAAGTTTCTCCACGGCACGCCTATCATCTCAGAAATTCCTCAGGCACGGCGTTTGACACGAACACTTCTTGTTTGCTTCAAGCCGGTCGTGAGTCATAAAACCTGTGAGCCCTGTGGCAATATGCACAGCCCCGATGCGTACCATTTACTTTCGGGGCCTGCAGAATTTGAATGGCAAATATAGCGTAATTATGTAGGGACCATAAGGGAATGATACTATAGTAGTTAATCCGACACTTATATTGGACTCAGACACCTGCCAGCCAAGATGCTGTCTCGAACCCGGTGGAAGACCGGCGCGCCCTGTCACCGATCGGGGCTTGTAGCTGCAGCACCCCACAGGTTGTAAATCCGAACCCTGAAAGAAAGGCTTAGGGACCATATGAAATAAGGTACCATAGTGTTTAGGGTTAAGGGATGTAGGGGGTAGGGTTTAGGCAGGTTTTGTTCGGTGCCTATGGGGCGGGGCGGTTGACAAGGCTCCAAAGGTTAACATGGGGAGTATAGAGGTTCGCAGAGCGCTTCTGCCTTTTTGCAGCTTTATCTAACCATGGCCTTTCTGGCACTCTCAACTAAGAATCTATAACTGTAAGGAATCTTATTGGCACAAGTATTGCTACACCAAATTCAGAACAATGTGGATCAATCCCCCCCCCTCCCCCACCCGTCACATGAAGAGAGATTTAAACAACTGGGCCAGCTTCTCCCCCTAAACCCTAAACCCTAAACCCGAAACCCTAAACCCTAAACTCTAAACCCTCCTCCGCCACCTTGCACTCTTCGTCGCACCAGGCTGTTTGCGAAGTTCGATGCTTGGTGATGAGGCCCTGACGCAAGATGGTCTAGCCCAACTGCCTAGTTCTTAGAACTGAAGGGATGACCTAATTGTAGGATAGGCTCGCTCATGATATCCTTTTGCTATAGCGGGGTCACCCAATGTTATGCAAAGTGGCAAACCTACGGGTCCATGTACCTAAATAGTGCATACTTGGGAGTTAAGAGGGTTTCGATAGCAGCTTTAGGGCCCAAGTATGTCCTAGAAAGGTACATGGACTTAGGGAAGGCACTTCATCGTTGGGGGCATTCTGTTCAGACTCCTAAGCCCTAAATGGGGTGCCAATTTATGGGGCGGGCTGTCTATGCGCCCTCTGCGGGGCAGCCGCGCTTCTGCGAGGCAGCGGGCGGTTCTGCGAACTTTTCCACAAGTCAATTGTAGTCTTCCCTTTAGGTTCTGCGTGGCTATGCGGGGCTCGTCGGGTTCTGCGGGGGTGTCATGGGGTGTCTGTAGTTCTGCGGGGGTCATTCAGGGGGTCGGGTAGGGCGGCCCACCCCATGAATTGGCACCCGACTAAACCCCAAACCCTAAACCCTAAACCCTAAACCCAGACGCTCGTAACACAACCCCTGCCGCGGGCCCCTGCCCCTGCCTCGGTCATGCCGAAGGGATTCTTCTCACCCTGGTCGGCAGAGCGCTGAAAGGTCGATGCGACGGACAGCAGCCCATCGATTTCCTCATGTTGCAAGCTCCGACACTCAACAAGCAGCACCAGCAGCAGTAGTAGTAGTAGTAGTAGTAGTAGTAGTAGTAGTAGTAGTAGTAGCAGAAGTAGTAGTAGTAGTAGTAGTAGTAGTAGTAGTAGTAGTAGTAGTAGTAGCAGCAGTAGCATTCCGCATGTCGAAAAATCAGCATTCCGTGTGCGCCAACCCCCACCTGCTGTCCAACCCTTGCAACATTTTCGCTGAGCTGCGCTGCGCGCCTGTGCTAAGAGGGCCACCAAGCCTTCGTGCACGACCACCTACCATCTGGCTACGCCTCACGTCTGGGAAGCATGATGTCTCCGTAATGAATTCGAGATTCCTTGTACTTCTGTACAACGCAACGGTTGAACGACTCCCCTGTGCATCTAGAATGCTATAGAGTCGCGCTTAAGTCTGAGGTAACTAAACTGTATAACCCCAGACCCTAAACCGGATGAGGGCCATTCAGGGTTCCGGGGTTTGGGGTTTTAGGGTTTAGGGTTAAGGGTTTAGGGTTGAGGGTGAGGGTTTAGGGTTCAGGGCTTAGGACAGCCTGATTTAAGGGCTACTTTACCTTGTCAAGCCTGAATCGGACAGCCGGCACACTGCCAAGCCCGCATGCAGCTTGGACTCTTCATCCGAAATGAAGTTGTCCAGGGTAACGATCCTCGCATACAGGGACCCCGCCATAACTTTGAGAGAGGATATCCTCTAGGTTGCGCCTTAAACTAGCCTAGGGCCAGAAACGTGTACCTGTTTGGTTTACTTCGGGTGTTCGGGGATGGCCTCAAAAATCGGGAATCAAACCCTAAACCCTCAACCCCTACAATGGGGAATCAGGTACTACTTGGAGGTTCAGGGTACTGATAACCCACTTATCACTCTAGTTATAACCCGTGTATAAGACCCTTTAGTAGCCTAATGTGGTTATATTTAGGTTATATGTACAGTTATGATTGGTTTTAGGGTTTTAGGGTTTTGGGGTTTTTGGGTTTTGGGGTTTTAGGGTTTTAGGGTTTTAGGGGCTTTTTACGAAGTACCATGAACCTCCACGTACTGGGCGTCCGGGAACTGAGGACCCTCTGAAGTTCAGCGAAGTTAATCCTGGAGCCCCCGACTCAAAAAAGGGAACGTGCTTGAGGGGGAGGGGTTTAGGGTTTAGGGTTTAGGGTTTAGGGTTTAGGGTTTAGGGTTTAGGGTTTACGGGGGCTTAGGGTTTAGGGACATCTCTGCAGCCCTACGGCCTGCAAGACTCCCGAGTCCCCATATCAAGACAGCCTGCAGTCATGAAGATTGTTGGGTTTAGGGTTTAGGGTTCAGGGTTTAGGGTTTAGGGTTTAGGGTTTAGGGTTGGACCCACTGGAACCCCCACACACTAGAAGCACTCGATCCTAAATCACCATCTACTTTTTGCCTACAAACACCCCCCCTCCCCTCCCAAAAAAAAAGCAAAAACAATAAACAATTATTTTACTTCGAACATCCCCACCCTCTCTTGGTAGAGATACTCTGGGCACTCCAGGAACACTCTGGCACTGGGCACTCTGGGGACACTCTGGGGTGAGGCACTCCAGGGAGACTGGGCACTCCAGGGGGACTCTGGGGCGGGCAGGGGCAGGGACAGTCTGGCTTGGGCACTTCGGGGAGAGTCTGGGTTGGGCACTGCAGGGAGACTCTGGGGTTGGGCCCTCCAGGAACAATCTAGAGTTGGGCACTCAGGGGACACTTTGGGGTTGGGCACTCCAAGAGCGAGGAGTAGACCGGGCGAGGAGAAGAGTTCGGGGCGAGGAGAATAGTTGAGTTCAAATCTAACAACCCCACACCGAGGGTGGGGAAAAAATAGCAGCTCATGGAAATATCTTGTGCTTTTTTGGGGGGATCTTCAGCAAATAGTAGCCATCCGGTATGAAAGAAAGACAACCTCGACCCCAACGGCCGAGCACCAAGGCCAAGAGGAGCGATGCCAAAACCCTGCTTAAGACAAAACCTGAACAAACATGTTCCAGGGCTCTTTGAAAACGCTGAAACCAGCGAGAACCCAGAAACAAAAAAAACTAAAGCAAGGTTTTTAGGGCCTTGGGGAGTCTCTCGCCCCTCCCCACGCAAGAAAAAGCAAAACCCCAAAAAGTTGGATCGGAAGTCCATGGGCTGGTGCTCAGAACTGTCGGCTTGTACGCCGCTGCTCGCGAGGCAAGGCCTGAAAAAGGGAAGGTTTAGGGTTTAGGTTTGGGGTTTAGGGTTTGTCGTCGAGGGTTTGCCCTGGAGCACTCAAGTCAAGCCTTGAGCCCTAAAACCCGCAAACCTTCAACCCCAAACCCGAAAGCCTTAAACCCTACAGTCAGCGCAAAAGCCTTGAAACAATACTAAACCCTAAGAAAGCCTTACATCCTCAACCCACACAAGCTTTAAAATATTCTACTTCGAACCCCTCCAGTTTGAAATTTGTGGTCCATCCTTGATTGGGCACTCCGGGCACGGGGTTAGGGTTTAGGGTTTAGGGTGTAGGGTGTATTTAGGGTTTAGGGTACCCTCTGGAGATACCCTGGGGTTGGATACGCGTGACGGGCGAGTTGGGGTAGGGTCCTTCGTTTGCTAGGTCCCAGGGTCACGTGGGGCAACAGGGGCACACTTGGACACCGAAAGCAATCGAGCAAAGGCCCACTGCGGGGTAGCAAACCCTAAAAGTTGTCGCGCCCTCAAGCCGTAAAACCCTGAACCCTGAAAGTCCACGTGCCCAAAGGGCCCAAAAACCCGTAAATTCTAAACCCTAAACCCTAAACCCTAGACCCTCTACCCTAAACCCTGAAGCCCTAGACCCAAAACCCAAAACCCTAAACCCCAGCGCCTGCAAACATCTCATCCATGTCGCCCGGGCGCAGCGCTGGCTCCTGGCTCATGTTCCTGAGAAGCCATGGGTTCCCCCTACTACCCCCCTGGATATAACCCCCCCTAGGTTTCCCCCATAATTCAGGTTCTTTAAGGATAGCTAGGCTTAATTAAGGCTATTGAAGGGGGGAACCTAGGGGAGGGTAGTATAGCTTGGTAGCCCAGTATCCAGATTATAATAAGGGCACCCTTTCTTGGGTTGGCTATTTCTATAAGGGAACCCACAACAAGAAAAAAGGGTACAGGGTACCACTGGGCTACCAAGATAGAGGGGCTAGTAAACCCTAAACCCTAGACCCTAAACCCTAAACTCTAAACCCTGTAGGGGAACCCATGAAGAAGGCACCGGTGGTGCGGTCCAGGGTGCCCCGGTCTTTAGGCTTAAGAGCTAGGGGTGAAGGATCCCTATCAGCCCTAGGTTCAGGGTTTGGGGTTTAGGGTTTAGGGTTTAGGGTTTAGGGTTTAGGGTAAGCCCTAAACCCTCATGTTACTGTTGCGCTTCTGCATGCAAGAGCTCGAGGTCGAGCAAAATTCGGGATTCTGGACCCTTTCGCCCTAGACCACAAACCCTGGCTCTTGACCCTCAACCCCAAAAACCCAAATCCGAAATTTAAGTAATAACTCACTAGTTAAGTACATATTTATCGCTACGTCACCGCGTAAGTTACTCTCAAAACCAGAGTCGAATACTTTTGACCCTTGAGCCCTCAAACCCTAGACCTTAAACCCTAAACCCTAAACCCTAAACCCCAAACCCCAAACCCTAAACCCTAAACCTTAAACCCTAAACCCTAAAACCTAAAGCTTAAGCCCTAAATCCCTCCCCTCCAAAACAAAAGCTCGATGTCATCTGGAATGTGGCCGAGGCGCAGCAGCTGGCGGGTGCACCGCAGCTCCTGCGCATGGGGTTTAGGGTTTAGGGTTTAGGGTTTAGGGTTTGGGGTTTAGGGTTTAGGGATTTCGGGCTTTAGGGGTTTCGGGGCTTGGGGGTTTGGGGGTTTCGGGGTTTAGGGGGTTAGGGGTTCAATAGGTCTTTAGGGTGAGGATGCATAAGGTTTAGGGTTTCGGGGTGCGAGGGTTGAGATTTTATGTCTTCTGGGATCAGAGTCTAAATGCCCTAAACGTTAAAAAGTCTTAAAACCGTAAAGCATCAAAAGCCCTTACGGGGCCTTGAGCCTTCAAACCCTCAAAGCCCCAGCCATGGAACCCTAAGCCCATACGCTCTCAACCTAAAACTCTAGACCCTAAACCTCTGAACCCAAAACCCTGAAGCTCTAAACCCTAAACCCTAAACCCTAAACCTTAAACCTTACAAAACCTGAACCCCACGCCCTGAACCCCCGCGGCATGGCGTCCGTATGGCGGAGGTGACAGGAGTGGCAGCTCATGGCGCAGAAGACAGCCCTGAGAGTCGACGTGGACACTTGGGTTTAGGGTTTAGGGTTTAGGGTTTAGGGTTTGGGGTTTGGGGTTTGGGGTTTGGGGTTTGGAGCTTAGAGGGGTTTAGGGTTTATAGGGTCTGCGTAGAATTCGGAAACTCGGGTTTAGAGTTTTGAGACGTGTGCATATGGCACAGGTTTTCGGTTTATGGGGGCTAGGGCTCAGTCAGTTTTTGGGTTTAGGGTTGTGGTTTTCTTGTTTATTTGGGGGGGGGGGGGGGTGGTGGGGGTGCTCAACCCTTATCCCAGGGTTGCGGCTTAGAGTTTTAATTGGTTGGAGCAGATCATCAACCGCTTCCTATCAGAGGCAGCCTTCGGCTGCCAAGGACTTCGCAACCCTAGACTCCTGAACTTACCTAAGCCCTAAGGTTTAGGGTTTAGGGTTTAGGGTTTAGGGTTTAGGGTTTAGGGAGCCCTAAACTCTAAATCCTAAACCATAAACCCTCTAAGGGTAGTTACATGGTCCCTTAACATGGGCCCTTTAAAAGGGTAGCCCGTCTATACCCCATATACACCCTATACAAATTAAGGGCCCATACATCAAAATCCTTCGAAGGAGGCTAGGGACCTTATTAAGGGCCCATGAAACTACCCTCAGAAACCCTCAACCTTTAAATCCCTTAGCCTGTGAAACCCTAAACCCCAAACCCCAAACCCCAAAACCCTAAAACCCTAAAACCCTAAAACCCTTAGACCCTAAGACCCTAAAACCCTAAGACCCTAAAACCCTAAGACCCTAAGACCCTAAGACCCTAAACCCTAACCCTAAACCCTGAACCCCAGGATGGCTTCCAGGGTAGACCTGTGCAACTCAGGCTCATCCATCCCGGGTTTTCCACGCAGCCGCCTAGGCTTGCCTGCGCTCAGGCGTTTCGAAGGTTCGACCCCAAGGCTCCCATATCACTTTGCTAAGGAATAGATTCCTGAAGCTCTAGAAGGAACCCTGTTGTGCTTGAAGGACTAGAAACTGTGGGTTTAGGGCTTGGGATCTAGGGGTTGTATTCCTTACGCCATAGAAGGAACCCTGTTACACTTTAAGAGAATATTCCTTCGTTGGGGGGTATTGGAGTTTCTGGGGAGTGTCGCACCCGAATCAGCTAGCACGTCCTGCGTCCGACACCAAGGAATCAGGGCTTAGTGAGGCCCTAACAAACAAACCTTACACCTGAAACTTTAGACCAACCCTATAGCAAAGACCCTTGGAGAGGAACAGAACCCTAAACCCGATGAGGAATAGAACCCTAAACCCGCCCCAGGTCGCGCAACTGAATTCTTTACCGGCCGTATGGTCTCTTGGCGGCTGGGAGCGTCTTGTGTGGCTGGGTTATGCTTAGAACAGAACAAGCTTGTAGAGCTTCGAAGAAG